TGAATTTTTGACAAAAGTAATCAGCCTTTCTTTATGTGGGTAGAGAGCATTGCCAATTTGGATCATAACGGTGGGGAAGAAGAGGTCCCAAGGTGTCCAGTTGCTGGTAGATGGGTATATTGATAAGCTCAGAAACTACTGTCCTGTTGATGATGTTCTAATTCACTCTTAACCCCAAAAATTCACGCTGCTTTCATTCCCCTTTTCTGTAATTTTATGCCATTAGTCTATTTTTATAGTTTCTAACTTAATTTAGATGAGTTTATGCTGGTTTTGTTTATTTTAAATATATGTATTTTTTTATATATTTTAAATATATGTATTTGAAATATATATTCAAAATACATTATTTAGATGTATTAAAATATTATGCATTTAAAATTAAATTTTTCCTATTAAATTAAATCATTTTTTAATCATTATTTAAATTTAATAAAACCAAAGTTAACAATTTTAATTTTTCAAAGTATTATTTAAATTATCTTAATACAAACAAATTGAGTAAAAAAACGAACAATTCCTTCACTAATCAATCCGTCCTCATGTTCTTCACTTTTTGTTCATTTTTTCTATTGTCATACAATATTCAATGTTGAAAAAGATGAATTTACCATGAAAAAATTTCATTATAAAAAATAAAAGAACAAAGTAACATTTCAAATGATTATCAATTATGTCCATTAACTGGATGGTTAAAGGTGGATCGCACTGCAGCCTCCTAAACCCAACAAATAAAAGGAGTTACTTCTACTCCTGGTCAATCCAGTCCAAAGCAGGTATAAGCTAACAGAGAACGTGGCATGTTGGTATTGAATGAAGACCATAACTGTCACATAAAAAAATCCAAACTTGTGGCAAGTTCTTGCAGTATGAGTGTATGACTACTACTACCACTACAGAAGATTAATCTATGAACAAGAGATCAAAATACTAATTTAGAAGACTGGAACAAAAACAACTTTATTTCTTCCTTTGCTAAACAATGTCGAAAAGCATATGAAAAAAAAAAAAAACCTTTAAAAGTTCAATGGCATAACCAACTCACAATCAAGATGAAACATTAAAAGTACAGTTACAGTAGACAAACAAATCCATATAGCAAACAAGCCTGCCATTAAAACAACTTTCTAGTTACTGCAGATTCAAGCAAACAAAGATCCTAAGCAATTTGGAGCTAAAAATCCACCTAGAGGACACAAATGAGCA